CCTAAATGAAATGAGAAATAAGTACGATTATATGTGAGAAAACATAGCTACCCATGGACTCTCAAAATCAATATTATAATGCTATGATTACATCATAAATCGATCGCTATTGTAACAATACTCAGAGGTTGTAAAATACAAAACTAAGGCGATGAGATTCAGCTCGGTGAGGGCTTTAAAACAAGCTAAATTTGATAGAAATTGTATTACAGGAACGGAGGATAGCCTTAAGAGTAGGATAATTATTGTACATATTATAATATTGGGAGCTGATCTATTAAAAGTGGGTTACGAGACATGGTAAATCATATGATCTGTATCTCAATTTTAATAAAATACTACCACTTCGCAAAATACTGTTACGTTAACTACTATTTGACAAAATTATTTTACACAAACAATAAAATTAATAATAAATACACTTTCATTTTAAAACAATCGTAATTTAAATTAATATTATGCAGCTAAAATAATATATTTTTACATTTAAGAATAATAGTAAACATTTTATTTTATAACTAAATGTAAATCATGATATTTTTTAAGTTAGAACCAAATAATAAATATAATAAAACATTAAATATATGCAATGTAATGAATAATTTAATTTTTTATAAAGATTCACATGTAAAAAATCAAAATAATTATTAATATTAAAACAAAAAATAAAAATTGTATTTATATAGCTGTTAAAAATCGATTTTTAACTATTTTATAAAAAAATATTAAAAAAAAAAAATTTAAATATTTACTTTCTTTTATCCTTATTTTTTTACATTTTTTTTCTTTTAACTTTTATTCTATTTCTCTTTTTTTTATATTTTATTTTATTTTTTCTTTTTTTATTTAATTATAAAAATTATAAACTTAAAAATATCTGATATATTAAAGGATAGTGATAAAGAAACAATCTCTGAAAATTATGAAAGTAGTAATGATGAAGAAGAAATTAATACCAATGACAAAATTATTGATATTGATGAAGAAAATGAAGAATTAATTGATCTACCTTTATCTCCTTTACAAGAAAAATTAACAAAGGTAATGTATGGAATTTTGTAAATAAAACAACAAGAAAATGTCCAAATTACGCTAAAATTTTTGGTAATAAAACAGGAACTAGTTCTATTCAATCCCATTTAAAAAGTCATGGATTGTTACTTGAAAAAGAAAAGCAAACAACTTTAGATAATTATGTTAAATAACATTCACAAGAAATTCAAGCTAAAAAAACACAAGCAGTTATGAATGGATAATTTTAGATATGTAAGCATTTAAAGTAGTAGAAGGAGAAGCATTTAATAAAATAGTATTAATACTTAATCCACAATACCAAATGCCTAGTAGAGGAACAGTTAATAATATTATAATGAAGCAATTTGAAAAAAAGGGAATTGGTTACAAATATGATTAGAAATATTTCAGGAAAAGTTGCTTTAACAGCTGATATTTGGTCATCTTTAAAATTTGAAGGATTTTTAGGAATTACAATACATTTTATCAATGAAAATTGGATTTTAAAACATTTTACTTTAATTTACTTTAGATATATTTTGATTTAAAGGTCAACATTCAGGTGATGAAATTGCTAAAAAAATTTATAAAATATTTGTAGAATTTGGGTTAGAAACTAAAACTTTAGGAATAACAACTGATAATGGTGGTAATATGATTCGTGATGCAAATATTTTAAAATCAAAAATATCAAATAACTTTATTCATTATCGATGTGTAGCTCATGTTCTTAATATTGTTGTAACTGCTGGATTGGAAATTGTAATAATTCATATTAAAAATTTAAGAAAATTAATAAAATCTATTCGAAAATCAACTAAATTACTTGAAGAATTAGAAAATCTTGCAAAGTTAGATAATAAACAATTTCTTCTGATTATTTATTAAATGATGTAGTCAAAACAATATTAGTAAAATTTAATGAATATTATGACAAATTAGAAGAAACTTCACATATTGCGGCCTTTTTAGATCTAAGATATAACAAATATTGTTTTCCAAAAATGAGTTATGAAATCCAATCACCAATTAGAAGTCTATTAGAGCAACAACAACAACAAAGAGTTCCTATTATTTCAACAAAAAAAGTTTCTAGCTTTTTAAAAAAGTTAAAAGGAGCAACTTCTGATATAATAAATGAGGATGATGAAGTTCATAAATATTGGATTTCTGCTGAAGCTGAAGAAGATGTAGAACCTTTAGATT